CCAATATTTATTTAATTGGGTTAATTAAATGGCCCATTAAATAATTAATTAGTTTAATTACTTAATTAAATGTAATTGAATATTGAATTGTTCGGTCCAAGTTGGTGGAATATTTAATTCAGTTGGACCAGGCTGCTTGGACGAATTGGATTGCCTAATTAGCAGGTTTGACTTGGTCTTGGCCCACTAAAATTATATGTGGATTATATAATTTTGAAGAAATTGGAATATTTGAATAATTTGAAAATTTAATGAAATCATAAACCTCGACGCAATGGTGTCCTGATACGTTCCTTAATTTAATTAAAGAAATTAAATTAAATAAGGAATTAAGAGTTGGTTGGAGATTTTCTCTCACCCTCACCACTATAAATAGTGGTTTCATTTTCAAGAATTGAAGCTCTGGAAATCTGCATATCGAAGCTTTGCCGAAATCTCGCCGGGATATCGTCTGAAACACGCCCGCAGTTATATATACTGCGTATATTACGCTAAGGAACACGCCACTTGAACACCGAAAGCCCTTCTTTGAAGATCAAGCTGCATATTAGCCCTTCACTGAGGAACAAGCTATTAACTCCGGAGGCCCTTTAGCAAGGAACTACTCCAATTCGGCACACTCCCGAATTCGGCATACTTCCAGTTCGGCATACTCCCGAACTCGGCATACTTCCAGTTCAGCATACTCTGGACTCAGCACACTTTCAACAAGGAACTCGGCATACTTCTAGTTCGGCCATACTCCCGAATTCGGCATACTTCCAGTTCAGCATACTCTGAACTCAGCACACTTCCAACAAGGAACTCGGCATACTTCCAGTTCGGCCATACTCCCGAACTCGGCATACTTCAAGTTCAGCATACCCTGAGCTCGGCACACTTCCAATTCGGCATATTCCGAATTCGGCACAATTCTAATAGGCATACTTCTAGTAGAGAATCAGAGGCAATGTTGCAAAACACGCTAGGCGCCCCCTAGGCGCTAAGGGGGCGCCTAGGCGCCGATTAATCAGCGCCTAGTCGCCGATTAATCTGCGCCTAGTCGCCGATTTTTTATTTTTTATTTTTATTTATTTTTATTTATTTTTAATTAAAAATAAAATTTAAAATTTAAAATTTTTAAAATTTAGTAATAAAATATAAGGTTTCCATAGTTATTTCTTAGAAACTATTTATGAAAGTGGTTGTAAAAGTGTTCAAAAGATTGTTTAACCCATCTAAATACATAAAAAACTAAAATTAAGAGCTAAAGAAGCATTTTTTGAGAAATTAGTGGACCAAACCGCCTTTGGCGGTTTGCGGTGGATAGATCTCAAAAAAATACGCGATCTGAAAAAAAAATTGTCCAAAACGGACAACCGAGTCAAAAGTTATGCCTTCCGAAACTTTTCCGACATTAAAAAAAAAAAACAAAAACAAAAAAAAAAAAAACAAAATCCGCCGAACCGCCGAACCGGTCGGCTAGGCGGCCGGCCACGGAGGAGGCCGCGGAGGCCGTTCTTCGCGGCGGCGCAATGGCGCCTAGGCGCGATTTTTGCAACATTGATCAGAGGACTTCTCATATACAGAGATTGTACCCCTTCTTGATTGATACATACTACTTGTAACCGATACTTTGAATTTTGAATATATACAATTCAAGTTTTTCGCGTTTATATATTTTGGCACGCCCAGTGGGACAACTCTGCCTCTCATCTCTCTACTACTATACCTCTACCTGCGCATCAAATGACATCGAACAATCCCATGTTCAGGAGGACCTATACCCAAGCTACCAAGTCCAAGTCTACGCCTGTAGCTAGCTCTGGCACTACCCAGAAAACGCAAGGTCCGCTGACAAGGAACCCCGCAAAGGATTTGGGGGTCCAAGTGCCTGAACCTCAGTCCATGGCACGACGTGTGGTTCGAAGGCTCGACAAGACCCCTGCTGCCTCAAAGGCAATTGCTTTTGCTCGAAGTCCACCCTCTCCCAAGGGAGCTACCGATGGTGGTAGTCAAACTTCTATGCAAGGGAACGCTAGTAGCGGGAGCACTTCCCCCGTAACTCCGCCACATCTATTATGGAAGGCTGCACCTGAGTGGTCGCATGTCTACAACGTCATGCCGGCCATGGCGACAAACACAGAGTCTGTGGAGGAGCAATTAGCTAGAATTGCTAAGTCTTTGGAAGGAATGTCTGTCGCTCTCCAAAATCAAGAGAAACGGCTTAACACCCTCGATAATAGGGTAGGAAGCATCATGGAGGGACAAGGAAGTCGTGCTCCAGGAAAGCAACCTGAAGGGCACGAAGAGGTTGGTCAGCAATCACCACCACCTCATGTTAGCCATGTGGTAGGAGAAACTGCTTCACACTTACCGGCAGTTGAGAAATCTATACCAGTCACTGAAGGTATGATACCGGTGGATCAGTTGAAAGACTACATAATGGGGGCTATCAAAGGCAAGTTGGATGACGGCCAGCCCTCATATTCATATGCTAAACCCTATACACAAAGACTTGAGGAGTTGAAAATGTCATACGGCTATCAACCTCCTAATTTCCAGCAATTCGATGGCAAGGGAAACTCTCGACAGCACATTGCCCACTTTGTGGAGACATGCAATGATGCCGGGACTTATGGTGATCTGTTGGTAAAGCAGTTTGTCCGTTCATTAAAGGGAACTGCGTTTGATTGGTACACTGACCTCGCACCCGGCTGCATTGATAGCTGGCATGATATGGAACGTGAGTTCTTAACTCGTTTCTATAGCACGAGGAGAACGGTTAGCTTCTTGGAACTCACCACTACTCACCAATGGAAAGGTGAACGCGCCGGTACCTACATCGAAAGGAGGAGGGAACTATGCCTGAATTGCAAAGAAAGAATATCCCAAAGTTCTGCAATTGAGATGTGCATCCAAGGAATGCACTTTGAACTCTCCTATATCTTACAAGGGATTAAGCCAAAGTCCTTTGAGGAGTTATCCAGTCGTGCTCACGACATGGAATTGAGCATCAAAGCCAGCGGAGGGCTCAACATATTGAACTTGCCTAGCTCCTCCAATGCACCTGGAAAACAAGAAGTTAAAAAGTGGAACAAACCTTTTCCAAAGCAGGAAAAGAAAGAAGTGATGAATGTGAAGGCTACTCCTATGACAGTCTTCACTAAGGCAACTGAAAGGCCTAGGTCAAGATCATTTTCTGGCCCGTCAAGGGGTGGTAGAAGGCCGACAATTGAAGAAAGGCAGGATAAGACTTATCCTTTCATGGATTCCGATGTATCTCCCATGTTTGATGAGCTACTCAAACTTAGGCTCATTGAGTTGCCTGAAATGAAACGTCCCGATGAAGCTACAAGGGTGGATGACCCATATTACTGCAAGTACCACCGTCTTCTCGGTCACCCAATTGAGAAATGCTTTATCTTCAAAGACAAAGTTATGGCACTGGCCAGGGATGGAAAAATTGAGCTCGCAGATGCTAACGCGAGCTCGAATCAAATCTCAATTACACTCGGACGGTTCGCTCCGCTGTGTACTGAAGAGGAAGATGGGAAACAACGGAAGCGTCCACTCCCCTTCATTGTTAAGCACGCTGTCGGTCAAAGTTCAGAACCACGGCGGAATGATAACACATCCGAAGGAAAATGGGTGATTGTCACTCATAGAAAGAAGAAAGTTGAGCCTGTGAAGCATCAAAAGCACATAGTGAAAAGTTGGCTTGAGAAAACCTCAAAAAATACTCATGCCCGCAAATCAAAGATGAAGGGGCATGTCAAATAGCCACGTGCACCAGTTCCTTTGGCTCAATATATGCCAAAGGGATTTGATCTTCAAGGGGCAGGCACTTCTAGCTCCTGCCTAAATACAAACGACAAGCCAGAAGATGGAGGTGAATGTTCGTCTCCTAAACACATCGAGGATGAGGAAGTGCTAATGCATAAGGCTACTTCCTACTCCACGGAAATTACCTTCAAGGATGAAGACTTGTTACTTGGAGGCACGCCACACAATCGGCCATTGTTTGTTGAAGGCTACACCCGTGGGCAAAAACTCAAAAGAATTATGGTTTATCAAGGCTCAGCTGTCAACATCCTATCCCTCCAAGCTGTGAAGGACCTTGGTATATCTACAGATGAGCTTGCCCAAAGTTGTCTAATGATACAAGGCTTCAACCAGGGAGGGCAAAGAGCAATCGGCATCATCAGACTTGACTTAAGAATTGGAAGCCTAAGTTCATGTGTCCTCTGCCATGTCATAAATGCAAGGACATCTTATAACTTGTTACTTGGAAGGCCGTGGATACATGAAAATGGGGTGGTACCCTCTTCTTGGCATCAATGCCTCATGTTTGAAAGGAACGGCGTTGTTGAAAAGGTTGTCGCCGATGAAAGCCCTTTCACAGAGGCTGAGTCTTACTTCGCAGACGCAAAGTTCTACATTAAAAGGCAAGTTATTGTTGCAGATATTGAGGAAAGCAATGACGATCCGCCTTCCCAATCAAAGTCAAAGGGAAAACAAGTTGTAGATGGAGATCAACACAACACGAAACTCATCTTCCCGCTTGCAAAGATTGATACACTAAAAGCACATGCAGCAAAATCATCTGAAGAGAAAGGTGGTGGTAAAGTGGGCCAAATATTCCCCGCCAAGCGTACCGAGGGTTTCGACCCTAATGCTTATAAGCTTCTAGCCAAGGCTGGCTATAACCCCAACGAGCCACAGAAGTTGGGAAAGCTTATCCCAGAAGCCGGCGGTAAAGGCGAAGCAAATCACCAAGAACCTCAAACGCGCAAAGGGTTGGGCTATGTCCCCCTAAACCAGTGCGAATTCTTATAAACAGGGCTGCAAGTAATTGTATCTCCACGGAGGGAAGCGAGTATGACCCAAAACTCACTCCTACTAATGATAATGGGCAAGACAAAAAGAAGTCAGTCTTCGACCGAATCGGTAAGGCGGACTCTTGACGCTCAGTCTTTGATAGACTGGGGTCAAGTCCTAAAGCCCTAAAGAGAAAGTCAATGCATGATCAACTTAGAGCTGTCCAAGTTGTTAAAGACAGTGCCAATGTTCCTGCTGAAGTGGAACCTCCCAAAAGGCTTAGAAGCATGATTCCTTCTCGAATGAGACGAGAAACATATATTCATGTTTCATGCGGTGAAGTATTGAAAGTCCAACCGAAGACCATCGTACACACTCGTGTACATAAAGAAGAGAATGAGGAAAGCGTAGGTTCAAGTGATGACGTACCACCAACCACTTAGGGAGAGGTGGCATCGTCGTTCCATATCACTTTGTGTGATGAGACTCCGATTGATGGAGAAGATGCAGAAGAGGCACCCCATGAGTTAGAAGAAGGGGTACGAGCCGCAGTGGATGAATTAAAAGAAGTTGATCTGGGAACTCCTGGAAATCCTCGTCCTATCTTCATTAACGCACTCCTATCTGATGAAGATGAGGAAATCTATGTCACATTGCTGAAAGAATATATTGATGTCTTTGCATGGACATACAAGGAGATGCCAGGGTTAGACCCAAAGGTAGCTGTGCACCGCTTAGCAGTGAGGAAGGGGTGTCGCCCGGTTAAGCAAGCTCAACGATGCTTCCGCCCCGAGCTCATTCCCTCGATTGAAACAGAAGTTCATAAGCTTATTGAGGATAACTTCATTCGTGAAGTTAAATATCCAACCTGGATATCCAGTATTGTGCCCGTGCGCAAGAAGAACGGCCAGATCCGCGTCTACGTAGATTTTCGGGACCTCAATGTGGCATGCCCGAAAGATGACTTCCCGCTTCCTATCACGGAGTTAATGATAGATTCCGTAACTGGACATGAGATCCTGTCATTCATGGATGGCTCCTCTGGTTACAATCAAATCCGCATGGCGCCGGAAGATGAAGACTTAACTGCATTCCGAACGCCGAAAGGCATTTACTATTACAAAGTAATGCCCTTTGGTTTGAAAAATGCAGGTGCTACATACCAACAGGCTATGCAGACAATATTTGATGATATGTTGCACAAAATGGTTGAATGTTATGTAGACGACCTGGTTGTGAAGTCGAAATTGCGCACAAATCACTTGGTGCATTTAAGGCAAGTCTTCGACCGCCTACGGAAGTTTCAACTCAAAATAAATCCCCTGAAATGTGCTTTTGGGGTTGCTGCTGGAAAGTTTCTCGGGTTTACAGTTCGACACAGGGGCATCGAGATCGAGCAAGCAAAAATCGATGCCATAATGAAGATGCCTGGGTCGAGAAACCTTCATGAGCTTAAAAGCTTACAAGGGAAGTTGGCTTACATCCGAAGGTTCATATCAAACCTAGCGGGAAGATGTCAACCTTTTAGTCGGTTGATGAAAAAGGGCATCCCATTCATATGGGATGAGGCATGCAAGAACGCATTTGAGAGTATCAAGTCATACTTGATGAAGCCGCCCGTGTTAACTGCTCCTGTTCACGGTCGCCCGCTGATCCTTTATATCTCCGCCCAAGATTGTTCTGTGGGCGCCCTGCTTGCTCAGGAAAACGACAAGGGGAAAGAGAAAGCTCTCTACTATCTCAGTAGAATAATGACCCCGAACGAGTTAAAGTACTCCCCAATTGAAAAGCTATGTTTGGCACTTGTGTTCGCCATCCAAAAACTTAAGCACTACTTCGAGGCTCATACCATCCGGCTTGTTTCCAAAGCGAACCCGGTGAAATATGTTATGGCGAAGGTCGTTCTCTCCGACCGCCTCGCAAGGTGGTACTTATTGTTTCAACAGTTTGAAATTATATATGTGTCGCAAAAGTCTGTCAAGGGGCAAGCCTTGGCCGATTTCCTAGCAGATCACCCAATACCTGCTGAATGGGAGTTGTCTGACGATTTGCCTGATGAAGATGTGTTCGTCATTGAAGTCCTACCCCCATGGAAGATGTACTTTGATGGAGCTTCGCATAGAGAAGGGGCAGGTACTGGAGTCGTCTTCGTCACTCCAGAATGCGAGGTGTTGCCATATTCATTCACCTTGACCGAGCAATGTTCAAACAACGTTGCTGAGTATCAAGCATTGATACTTGGGCTCGAAATAGCGGCTGACATGAAGCAACTGAGAATTAACATTTATGAAGATTCAAAGTTGATCATAAACCAAGTGTTGAGTCTATACGAAGTGAAAAAGGCGGAGTTAGTCCCATATAACAACTATGCAAAGATACTAATGCAATGGTTGGGGGACGTCACAATTGAACATGTACCGATGAAGGAAAACAAGCAAGCTGACGCCTTAGCCGCATTGGCTTCAACTATTACTCATCCTGCAGCCCGAGTGCGGGTATGTCAAAAGTGGGTAGTTCCACCAATCTTCAATGAAGACGGCTCAGTTGATGAAATTGTTGAACTCCCTGCTGCCTCAGTGTATGATATTGGCCAGGACGACTGGAGGCAATCGCTAATTGACTACCTCGCTGATGGAAAGTTACCCGAAGATTCACGTAAGAGGGTGGATATAAAGCGTCGAGCTCCTCGCTTCATCCACTATAAAGAGACGTTGTATCGTCGTTCACTCGAGGGAGTCTTTCTCCGATGCTTAGGGGAAGAAGAAGCTTTACAAGCTATGCAAGAAGCTCATTCTGGGGTTTGCGGTGCACATCAATCCGGTCCCAAGTTGCACTTCCACATTAAGCGAATGGGATATTATTGGCCTACAATGGTAAAGGATTGCATAGACTATGCTCGAAGGTGCCAAGCTTGTCAATATCATGCAAACTTTATTCATCAGCCACCAGAACCTCTACACCCAACAATTGCATCTTGGCCATTTGATGCTTGGGGACTTGATGTGGTTGGCCCAATTACGCCTATGTCATCTGCAGGGCACGCATATATACTAGCTGCCACCGACTACTTTTCAAAATGGGCTGAAGCCGTGTCACTGAAGGAGGTGAAGAAAGAAAATGTTGCAGACTTTCTCCGTGTCCACATCGTCTATCGATTTGGTATCCCGCGATATATCTTAACAGATAACGGGAAGCCCTTTGACAACAAGTTGATGGACAAGATCTGCAAGCTTTTTGACTTTAAGCAGCGAAACTCATCAGCTTACTATGTAGCTGCAAATGGGCTTGCTGAAGCTTTTAACAAAACCCTATGCAATTTGTTGAAGAAAGTGGTCTCAAAATCGAAAAGGGACTGGCATGACAGAATGGAAGAAGCTTTGTGGGCGTATAGAACCACATATCGCACACCTACTCAAAGAACTCCATATTCTTTGATGTATGGTGTGGAAGCGGTCTTGCCTCTAGAGCGCCAAATACCTTCCTTAAGGTTGGCTATACAGGAGGGTCTTACTGATGAAGAGAATGCTAAGCTACGCTTGGCTGAGTTAGAAGCCTTGGATGAAAAAGGTCTGCAAGCACAACAAAGCTTGGAGTGCTATCAAGCTCGTATGTCTAGAGCTTTTAACAAAAGGGTAAGGACCCGTTCCTTTCAAATTGGGGACAAAGTCCTAGCTGTTCGCAGGCCCATCATCGTCACGAGAAAAACCGGTCACAAGTTCACTTCAAGGTGGGATGGTCCATACGTGATTTTAGAAGTTTACACCGGTGGGGCTTACAAGCTGATTAGTGAAGATAGTTTGAAGATCGGTCCAATTAATGGAAGGTTCCTAAAGCTTTACCACCCTTAAACTTGGGGTGTCAACACAAGTCGTGGAAATATGATGAACGACTCATCCACCAAAAATGCAGCACGTGGTTAAACTGCAAATGCATCTCGCTTTGTCTATGGGTGGGCCCAAATCATAGACGCTCCTGGCCCGCATGAGTCTAAACTGTGAACGACTCTACTTTATAAAAAAAATCATTGGAACTACGTTTGACTTGATCTCCTTGATAGGAGTACGTAGGCAGCTTAGAATCAAATCATCTAAGTTCAGTCATAACAAAAACAAATTCAATTCATGTTGCAAGTGTGATGTAGAAGGACAATCATTCAACATGTCAATGCAAAGATGTACGAGTGATTGCTATAAAAAACAAAAAACAAGCGCAAAAATGAGAAACTTTCAATTATCAAGAGTTGAGGAAAGAAACAACAACATTCTTGCAACCAAAAAGGAAAAAACGACTAAAGGAAAAATAACATCAGTCGATGAAAAGCCTAAAGTTAAGCATGTCATCTTTACATGCCTCCAAGCTTCTATTGGCCTCATTCAAGCTCTCCCCATCTTCTGGAGTCAACAGAGTCAACCCTTGGATGAGAGAGACTTCTACCTTGGTATTTGAGACTGAATTCTCAGTAGAGAGACTTCTACCTTGGTATTTGAGACTGAATTCTCAGTAGCCTCAGAAGCGATAGAAGTGTCGTAATCACAGCCATAGGGGCAAACCCTTCATGAAATTTTAAAGGGAAGAAGCTACAGGATACTCCTTGGGACGAGTCGAAACTGCCTCATATCCTTTCAATACTCCTTGGCATGAGTCGAAATTGCCTCATATCTTTCAAACTTCTTTGACACGAGTGAAAACTGCCTCATGGTGGCCTCCAAAAGGTCATGATACATACTGAGTACGGCCTCAGTTTGTTACCTTGATGAAATTAAATGCATTCTTAAAGCAAGGGTACTAGTTACAAGAAGCTTCACCTAACAGTATCCATCTCCCAAAAATCGAGAGCATGTCCGAATATTGCACATGATATAAGCTGATTGCAGAGTCCATGTCTTTGGGGGCTCGAATTAAAAAAAAATCTGATTCTCCACTCAAAGTCAAGTCAATCCGCGCTTAGAAAGTTTGCCGTCTAAAGACTAAGACTCAAAGAAAATTTCCATAAGAATGTTTAAGGAAACTCTCATGTCACAATATGTGCACAAGGCAACCCATATAACATACATATATATATATTATATGTGTGCACATACCACGTATATATATCATATGTATTATATGCGTATCATATGAATTATATGTGTGCGTGCATATATACTCACACAACATATGCATCAAATATATTATATATAAATTATGCATGGATCAGTGAGCCACAACTATATTATATATGTACCTACACTACATAGTGCATGCAAGGTAAACATATATATGTATATTACTTATAAACCAGTGGCCCACATGGGTCAAGTGTATTATATATACACAATAACACAAGCTAAGCACTTCGGGGGCATACATCACAAAGCAAACAAAGTGGACTATTTTATATATGTATATTATGCGCATCCGCAGCTGGCAGCACGGCAGAGCAAATAAAAAACATATGTTTATGTTGACACGCAAAGTGAAAGAAATATGCCTGGGGATGCGTGAAAGGCTATGCAGACCCTCTCTTATTTCACTTCAGTCGTGGACTAAGCAGATTAAAGCAAAGGAAAAAGAAAGGAAGGCACATCGTTGGTACCTCCGTAGCGATCTCTTCTACCCAGCGAGGCCTCAACCTTCTTCTCTGACGAGTTCACCAGCGACACTTCACCTCTCTAAGCAATCGGGGTCCTCCGGCGATAGTTCTATGATGCACGGCGAACTCCTGGAGCATGAGAGAGTTTCTTCAAACCAAAAAAAAAAAAAAAAGAGAAAAAAAAAAAGAAACAAAACATAGTTTCTTTTTTTTCTTTTTGGGGCAGTGGTTGTGGTCTCTCGTCCATGGCAATGGCGAGCAGTGCCTGTAGTAGCAGCAGAGGCGTGCCGAAGCAAATAGCTATGGAATCAAGTCCAAAGCTTGGTGAGATCTCCCCTTCGACGGCATCGCTATACCATAGGACGACGACAACGTGCCGGAACATGCCCGGTGAGCACAGCTGATGTCCGATGCGATACTAGATCGCGGGCGTGATTCCGTTTCCTTCATTGCCAAGTGCGATGAGAATGGACGCCCTGTGGCAACTCGCCGGAGCACGACAACTATCCAATATCCTTCCTCTCCAAATGGCGTCATTGTCGACAGCCATTAGCATTCTCCTTCGACGAGTTCGTCGATGACAGCAACGTGCCGGAGCACGCACTCAGTGACATCCAAACATTGCGACAGCAACGTGCCGGAGCACGCGCTCAGCGACATCCAAACATTGTGATAGCAACGTGCCGGAGCAGATGCCCGGTGAGTTCAGCAGATGTCCAATGCGATACTAGATCGCTGGCTTGATCCCATTTCTTCTTCATCACCAAGTACGGTGAGAATGGAGAGGCACTGGAGGGGCGAGATTCCAAGCAATTCTCAGTCCAGTGTTCGTGAAAATTGCAAGATTCCAAGCAGTTCCCAGTCCAGTGTTCGTGAAAATTGCAAATTCCAAGCAGTTCCCATTCCAGTTTTGGTGAAAATGGTGAGCCAAGCAGTGGTAGAAACAAGCCCAAAAAAAAATAATAATAATAATTTTCAGGTGTTTCTTATCCAATGCCTCCCGGTCTTGATTCCTTTGTCTTCATCCCTTCTAATGAAAGCTGCAAAAAATTAAATACATACATATATATATGGGGCAGAAATTAATGTTCAAAAATTACCTGAAGGCTGTTATGCTACTCTCGGACGATTGAGGATGCAAAGCAACTAACATGGAGTAACTATTTATAGTTGTGGAATGCCGGAGACAGGGATGAATTTGAGTGTATCTGTGGTTCAAAATTTGTTTTCATTCAAGTCCTGTTGTGATTTTGTGGTTGATGTTATGACTAGAGTCTCATGCTGATGAAATTGCGATTATAGTGGGACGAATAATATCACTCCAGAAGTCCATGTAGACGCTTAGTTGAATGGAGATTAGCCAAAGTTGATGAAAATCCAATTGCAAAAAAAAAAGTGAAGTACATGTGCCCATCTGCTTATTCAATGTACATGTGCTGAAGTTCAATTTCTTTCAAAAAATTCTGGAAAGAGATTAACTTGGTTAAAATTAAGGGAAAAAAAGAAATGGGCCGTTTGATACACTATAGACTTTGAATATGGGTTTTGTTGGGCCGTTATCAAACTGGGTACTCTACCACCAAGTTTATTGGATTGCTATCTATAAATATAGACTTTTCACTACAACGGTTTATTTCGAGACTACCTTCCCTCTGCATTTAAGGCACGTCAAGCAAGTTTCGAAGGGGCAATTTGTAAGCATTGGAAATTTAAATAATATTGTTGGACTGTGGTGGATAATTGATCATTAAATTAATTACTTTAATTAGGTTAATTGGACTAATATTTATTTAATTGGGTTAATTAAATGACCCATTGAATTATTAATTAGTTTAATTACTTAATTAAATGTAATTGAATATTGAATTGTTCGGCCCAAGTTGGTGGAATATTTAATTCAGTTGGTCTTGGTGGAATATTTAATTCAGTTGGACCAGGCTGCTTGGACGAATTGGATTGCCTAATTAGCGGGTTTGACTTGGTCTTGACCCATTAAAATTATATGTGGATTATATAATTTTGAAGAAATTGGAATATTTGAATAATTTGAAAATTTAATGAAATCATGAACCTGGACGCAATGGTGTCCTGATACGTTCCTTAATTTAATTAAAGAAATTAAATTAAATAAGGAATTAAGAGTTGGTTGGAGATTTTCTCTCACCCTCACCACTATAAATAGTGGTTTCATTTTCAAGAATTGAAGCTCTGGAAATTTGCATATCGAAGCTCTGCCGAAATCTCGTCGGGATATCGTCTGGAACACGCCCGCAGTTATATATACTGCGTATATTGCGCTAAGGAACACGCCACTTGAACACCGAAAGCCCTTCTTTGAAGATCAAGCTGCATATTAGCCCTTCACTGAGGAACAAGCTACTAACTCCGGAGGCCCTTTAGCAAGGAACTACTCCAATTCGGCACACTCCCGAATTCGGCATACTTCCAGTTCGGCATACTCCCGAACTCGGCATACTTCCAGTTCAGCATACTCTGAACTCAGCACACTTCCAACAGGGAACTCGGCATACTTCTAGTTCGGCCATACTCCCGAACTCGGCATACTTCCAGTTCAGCATACTCTGAACTCAGCACACTTCCAACAAGGAACTCGGCATACTTCCAGTTCGGCCATACTCCCGAACTCGGCATACTTCAAGTTCAACATACCCTGAGCTTGGCACACTTCCAATTCGGCATATTCCGAATTCGGCACAGTTCTAATAGGCATACTTCTAGTAGAGAATCAGAGGATTTCTCATATACAGAGATTGTACCCCTTCTTGATTGATACATACTACTTGTAACCGATACTTTGAATTTTGAATATATACAATTCAAGTTTTTCGCGTTTACAGGGCTGAACTCGGCCAACTCGACGGACGCCCAACAACAGGTTTCACATATTTGAGTGTATATATTATTCAATGAAACCGTAGTTGAATTATAATTATACTTTAGTGGTGTTATAATAAAATTATAGTATGTATAAAATGAAATTCAATAACAGGTCTCAATATGTATATGACACAATTAAATGATACTTTAATTATGTTATAATGAAACTACAGGGTAAATCAAATTTAGACCTTGGTCCACAATAAAATTTGCCATTAGAAATATAAAAGATTTCTTTATTCATTTCGAAACGAAACATTTACATGTTTGAGAATTGAAGGCAAATGACCCATAACTAATGAGCATATGCAGTTAGTTTAAGCAGAAGAAGAATCAAAGAACAAAACAATAATGTGATCAAAATTCTATCCTGAACAGCGCTGCACAGTTTGCAGTCTGCAAAACCATTGAACTTCATCAGAGTTTATTGAGCAGAAAAATTCCTTGGGCTTGGAAGTCCCATGTATGCAAGCCTGGGCGAAAGACGAATCTTGGGACTGGGGCGTGGCGAAGGGATAGGCAATAAGTTGTAGTCCCCATTAACTCTGGGTGAGAGGTTAACCTTTTCAAGAGCTTGGGATTGAAGATCCAATGGATAGTCCCTCACACACCCAATACGAGCACCCACTCCACTTGACCACTTGCAAGACAGGCGTTTGCCCAGGTCAAACACTGGAGGTGGTTTCGCCTTTCTGATGGGCTTGGCGTCCTCTTGGGAAACAACTGGCTTTGAAACCTCCTCAGATGGAATACAAGTTTCCTTGCTCTCACTTTCTGCTGTCTCTTTCTTGGACCCCGACCCAATGAGCGAAGGCTTGTCGTCGTCTATTGCACACCTCTGCAACACGCAATGCTTAAATGTGAGTCACTCTCAATATTGCACATCAACCTAGCAACTTGTGTAAATTTATTGTTGGGTAGAGACCAATAACTGGTCAAGTCAAACAATTGGTGGCTAGTGAATTATTGGGCGGAGGTCTGAATGGCCTAGTTCAGTACTTTGCCTCTAAAAAATGTGGTGATATATAAGAAAATAAAATTGTGTCTTAATTACGAGCTATAATTTTTAGCGTAATGGTAGTGGGGATGGAGAATTGTTGAGTGGAGGCCTAATACTAAGCCAAGCCCAGCAATTGGTGGTTAGGGGATTGTTGGACAGAGTCCTGAATGGCTTAATCCAGCACCTTGCCTCTAAAAAACTGTGGTGGTATATAAGGAAATAAAGTTGTGTCTTAGCTACGAGCTATAATTAATAGCGTAATGGTAGTGGGGATAGAGAACTGTGGAGCGGGGCCCGGTAATGAGCCAAGTCCAACAATTGGTGGCTAAGGAATTGTTGGGCAGAGGCCCGGTAATGAGTCAAGTCCAGCAATAGGTGGCTAAAGGATTGTTGGACAGAAGCATGGATAGCCAAGTCTAGCACCCTGCCTCTAAAAAATATGACGGTATATATGAAAATAAAATTTCGCCTTCACTAGAAGTTATAGCTCTTGGGATAGTGGTAAGTGCAAAAACTGTGCAGTTAAGACTGACAGGTGCTGGGCAGAATTGTTCCAGTAACAAGCCAAGTCCAACAATTGGTTGTTAGGGAATTTTTGGAAAGAGGTCTAAATGGCCAAATTCAACATCATATTTCTCAAAAACGTGGGAGGGTGAACTATAATTTTTAACTTAGTCGTAAGCGATTTTCTGAGCTGAGTGCTCACCTTAACATTGGTCAAATCCACGTTGTGCTCCTCAAGGAAACTGATGAACTCCTTGAAATTGTCTTCAGTTGGTAGATAATGACCACTGTACGGCCAAATTGCCTAAGCAAATGAAATGATGACAGATTAATAAAGCATGTTAGGAAGTAATTAATTGCGTGCAATGAGCATTATGAACCAATTCAACCATACATACCTCAAGAATCCCATCATGGGCAACCAGTCTCCCAGCTGCTGTTGTAGCCCCACCAGAAAGAAAACTGGAGTGCTGAAAGGCTCCTTTCTTTTTCTGCCCCACGTAAAGGGCCCTTGCCGTGCTAAGCACAAATATCCATTTTGATCCTTCTTCTGTGTTTAGAAGTGACCCACTCTCCTTGTAAACTAACTTCCCCTCTTCAACAATCACTCTATATGCTTCCCTCTCTTTCTGAAATTAGATAGGATCGGATGAGCGTTACAATTAAGCATATTGTTGGGCGGAGGCCGGTAAAAGGCCAGTCCCACCTAAAATTGCTTCTTCACTAAACATTTGATCTAACATCTGGTGTGAGAGTCAAATCACGGGTTCGCGTCTCATGGGACAATTGTTAGGTGGTGGCCAGTGAAGGGCCAAATCGAGCAACTGGTGACTGGGATAAGGAATTGTTAGGTGGTGGCCAGTGAAGGGTCAAGTTCAGCACCCGGTAGCTCGAAAATGTGGTTGCGCCTTCGTGGTGCAAGCACCTGCTAGAGCACAATATTCTAAACGTTTGATCTAACATCTAGTATGAGAGTCGGATCACGGGTTCGAGCCCCATGGGGCAATTGTTAGGTGGTGGCTAATGAAGGGCCAAGTCGAGCACCTGGTCACTGGGAGGGGGAATTGTTAGGTAGAGGCCAACGAAGGACCAAGTTCAGCACCCGGTGGATCAAAATGTGGTTGCGCCTTCATGGTGCAAGCACTTGGTGGAGCACACAATACTCTAAACTTGGCATTCTAGTAAAATAAGTTGTACAGAGATGAGATGATAAAAATGAATGGATAAGACTTACAGGTCCCAAATACTTGATGCAGTGGCGCTGCAGATCAACTCTTGGGCACTTTTTGAGACTTAGTTCTTTACCATCACCCACATCCAACCTTCACAAAAGGAAAGCAAGATAAGTACATATATATAAGAATATATATAGTGAATCAGAAACACATAAATAGGAGGTTAATCTAAATCTCATAATCATCTTACCAATAGAAGAAAGGTTGAGTGCTTCTGCTTGCAGACCATACATCATAATAGAAGTGCAAGTTGTGACCATAACGATGGCGCGGGTCAATCTGCAATTCACACCACAGGTTCAGCAACCAATACCGCATAATCAGTGTTGCAACGACACGATAAAAGCATTAAATCGATCAGTTAATTAGCAGCATAGACTTACAGCTTCAAGCCAATGCTGTAGAGCTAGTTTCTGAGCTTTCTCATCCTTGGACAGACCCTTCCCGACCTGTAACGTTTAAAACCATGGAGTTAACACCAAGAATTCGCAATAACCTTAATTACTACTGCTGGACAGAGGCCGGTGAAGGGCCAAGTCCAGCACCCTGCCTCTTGAAAACGTGGCAGTATATAAGGAAATAAAATTGTGTCTGCTTGATCTTAACAAGTGGTATCAGAGCTAACGTTTGATCCTAATAACTACATACTTTATGCTCGATATAGTACCTTAGCAGCCCTTGTCCTGGCCCGTGACCACCGCGATGCTGCAGTTTCTTGTTTGTCAATGTTGAAAAATGAGATAGAGCTACGCTTTAGAGCTGCAAAATCCAAGGCTTTCCACCTGAAATATACCAAGGTATAACGATATATTAAACTTAAACATTAAATGCTTCTAAAATATGTTTAACTTTAGTATATAATGAGAGATATATACCAGAGCTCTTCAACAACCACTGCACAATCTGCAAGGTTCCTCCTGGTCCGGTAACTCTTGTAGACTTTTTGGACCTTAGTTGCAGCAGCATCAAGAACAGGTTTGGGAGAAGAGTACACATATGGTTCTGGGCATGAAATTGCAGCCTTTGATTTCAGGGAAAATTCATTACACTTCCCATCTTCTCCAGAATCTTTTTCCTCCTTTTCGACGACTAAATTGTTTAATGGAACATGGGTTTTGAGCTTCATCTTTGCATCTCTTTTGAACCCAGCTTTCTTGTTAAGATGCTCTTCCTTGAAGCTATATGTTTTGAGCATGGAATCTGTGTCTTCGTTCTCAGTGTTTATTGATGGAAACCCAAATGCTGGTAATAGCAAAGAAGCAGACAGTCCCATTCACCAGTAAGTATATCACAATTCACACTTGATTCTCTGGAAAAATTAAACAACCCTGCAAAAAAGCATTGCTAAAGGTGTTATTTTCTATTGTTTTTCAATTGAGAGTTCAACAGTTTGAATAAGAACAACATAAATTAGTAATCAACTGCAAAACCATTTGTCCTTTAAACAACAAGGATGGAATGGTCGGGATAATCTCAACCAAGATGGCTAAAGATACAAACTTGTAACTATAAGAACACGTGTTCGAATTCCAAACCTCTTGGTTTGAGCCAATCAGCTATAAACAACCTAGGCTAGGCTTGTTATACTGATTTACCCAGTATACACCATCAGATAGTGACGACTAGGGATTTTTCTCGTCACTCCAAAAAAACAAGGATGGAATGGGATAAACATCATATTTTCAAGAAAAGTAAAATATCTAGCAAAACTGGTACTAAATTTGACCAAAGATGGAGAATTCAAGCAGAACTGCAACTAAATTAGACATAATAACACAGCAACAATCTCTTGCAGAATTCATAAAACACCATCAAAGAACAAAGAAGAATAAACCAAACCATCAAGAGCAAAACACAAGAAAAAAGCCCATATCATCATCAAAAAAACAAAATCTTGGAAACCCAAATCCAAGAAAAGCAAAATATAATTGAAAAAGGGGCCTTAGCTTGAGTAGTCAAGATAAAGTTCTCACCTTGAATTGAACCACAAAAAGAAAGGATTATCTCTTTGCAAAGCACAAGGAACCAACCAACCACTACACTATGACTTTATGAGGCTATCTACCAAAGGTCCAAACTGCACAGATTTGACTAGCTATCAAAGAGCAGTGAGGTATTTATAGAGGTTGAAGCGTAGGAAATGGGTTTGAATAATCAAAGTCAAGGGGCGTAATGAGAAAGTCGTTGTGGAAAAAATGAGAAAGTGGGTTGGAATGGAAGAATGGCGGGTCGTATACTGTTAAGTCTGCATGGGCCATGGAGCTTCATTGAAGCTCATAGGAAGGGATGAAGAAGCTGGGAATTCAGGCTCGTGCTTTCGTCTGGTGCAGTACAGTCATGCGATACTGTTTTAGATTTGCTTCCCACTCAATAATTTGGCATTTGGCAATGAATTTAATAGTACTCATAATGTCGGATTTGTTTCTTTCTATTAAAATACTTGTCTACTAATTTAATAATGGGAAAATTGTAAAAAATGTCCCTCTATAATAGGCCAATTATCAATGCCACCCCTGAGTTATGAATGGTGTAAATGTTGTCCCTCAATTACTAAAACGATGCACATATAACCCCTCCCGTAACGGATCTATGAATCTACATTAGTCTACACCGATTAGTTTGGATAATTAAGTAATTTACTTGATTTTTCCTTTTTGTTTTTATATTGTCGGCACTGTTACATTGATGCTCATAGGAGGAGAAAGGGAAAATATAAAAACAAAAAGGAAAAAACAAGTAAATTACTTAATTACCCCAACTAAACGGTGTAGACTAACGTGGATTCACAGGTCCGTTACGGGAGGGGCTATATGTGCACCGTTTTAATAATTGAGGAGCAACATTTACACCACTCATAATTCAGGGATGACATTGATAATTGGCCTATTATAGAGGGGCATTTTTTACAATTTTCCCTTTAATAATAGAACTCTCAAGACAAGTTGATATGGAAATCTTATGAATGATTATTAAACTAACTTGGTTTTAGTCGCATTGTCTGACTAATTTAATGTTCAATGTTTGTATTTAAATAAGTACTTTAAAGTATATCAATACAAAATTATATAAGACAAGTTTTTTATAATTGACATTAAAATTAATATTTGTACTTTTTAAAAAATAATTATCTAAATACTTATATTGTAGTTCGTATGGTATTAGGTTGTAGATACTATTTGGTTGGAATTACTCTAAGTTTTGTTAATTCGTTTTTGGATAGGTTTGTCATTGTTTTGTCTTTATTGCTTGCCTGCTTCTTATTTTTGGTAGTGTCTTATGACCAATTGGGTTACTGGTGCTAGTTTGCAAAAAAAAAAAAAAAAAAAAAAAATTGAATCTAAAATAGGTCAACAATATTATTATTGTTATTTTAGTGATTGTTGTTTCAGTTTTATAATTGTATTGGATTTAAAGGTGTTGACTTTGTTGTATGAGTTGCAAACATGCATGAGTAGCGGGCGTTAGAAGAATGGGTATGCATTACTTGCACAAATTGATTGTTGAAAATATACTAAAAGAAAGTGATAGAGAATGGGCAAAATCATATTATCGATGTATCTTTTTCAGTTATATCCAGGAGAGGGCTAAGCTAAAGAGAGCCAATGATGCACACTACCTTTAATTTGATTCTTCCAATTCAACCAAAACAAAACTTGAAGCCTCGATAAGTTCCATAATTCTGGAGGAATCAATCCTGAAATCTGGTTTGTAAATAAGAAGAAGGAGAAAAAGGCTTTCAAAAAAAAAATAATAATGAAGAAAGGAGAAAAGATTCAACCAATAAGATGAAAGGATCAAAACATATGTTTAAATATATTATATATAATTAGTAATAAATTTCTATGTAAATATCTTTTATTGGTCTTTAGTCTTTACACGTTGTTGACTGTATTGAGAGATTATAATAATAATAAATATATATGACCTAACTACAGGTTCTATTTTGTGTTGTTTATTTATTTATTTTATTTTTTTTGAAAAAAAATAAAAGAGAAGAAACAATCACATTACATATGAGAGTTTATATCAATTTTTTTTTTTCGATTTTGGTGATTTTTCATATTTAGTTCTTGACAAATTTGATAATTTATTATATAATGTTAGCTCTTTATAAACATATATAAATAAATAAATAAATAAGTAAATATATATATAGTTGGAAAAATACATGAAAATTGTGTGAAATTTGAAATTTTGTGAGATGAAGAAAATGTAGATTTAATTTTTTATTTGTTAAAAAAAAAAAAAAAAAAAAAAAAAAAAAAAAAGATGAACAATCACTCAATCCTAAAGTTACAGATTTATACCATTTAATTGCAAAATCATTGGCAATATAAAATTTGTCCTACTGTTGAGCATACCTGCAGTCAACTAAATAGAGTACGTCTACAATCATCCATCCAGTTGTTTCAAGTTACTTTCAACATTCATTAAAATTTATGAAAGAGTTGTTTAGTTGTTGAGGCCAGGGTAGTTGGTATTTATTGTTAATTAACTATGTTGTCACTATATCATATTTAAAAATGTAAAACTAAATAAATATTTAGAAAAATAAATTTTGTTAACAATTATATTCAATTATACTTTAATTTGTGACAATTATATTATTTGATGGGAAAAAAATTTGTCCGACTATATGCTTAATCAGTAAATTAACTCTTTTTTCTTGAGTACTAGCTACTGACTCTATTACAATGTAGTATCATTTCATAATTACTTTTTTAATTGCACAAAGAGTCAATACTACCCTCACTGGAAATCAAACACATGACATCCCATTTGAGAGAGCCACTTCATGCAACTGGACCACAAGGTCATTGGATCGGTAAATCAACTCTAAATATAAGGATCTCACAACAAATAATATAAAGAATGAGAGATAATGTTACAACTAAAAGATAAAATATTAGATTAATAGATGATGAGTACAAGATAATGGGACCACACCCAAGCCTAATGCTAGAAAATCTTGGCACCAGCGTGGGGTCCTTAGGATTGGGGATTCAACATTTTGGGAGAAGAAAATCTTGGCACCATCAAAATTCATACTTTTAAATTTTGACAATTTAACATCAAACTTAGCTTGTGTGCATAAAAATTACATCTAAACATTAAAAAGTTGATAATAATCAAACGTTTGTATTTTGTAACCATTATAATGTCCAATCCAAGAAAAAATCCAACCTAAACTAGTTTTCCTTAAGTTAGATCACCATATAATTATTTTAAAAATTAAAAATGACATTATTTTTAAAATATAATGTATATCAAAATATATACTTCAATTCATACAACTACACATTCAAAATTAAACTCTCTAAACAAATGTTCTATATATATATAAAAGAATGTCTAAATGGTTTCCCTCGTCACTCGACACTTGCTCAATAATAATAATAATAATAAGGAATATCTAAATATTATAGTAGCTAATTAATACCTAAATTAGGATAATTGAATAATTTTTATATAAGGGTTATATACGATATATAATTAGATATAATTGTCACATATATAATAAAGTTTGGCATAATCTCCACGCCCAGTTGTCCTATCTTAAAGAGGTGCCTATAATTCAACGTGAGGATTAGTCACTGTGTTCGACGGTGGAAACCCTGGGTATACCTAAAAAAAAAAAAAAAAAAAAAAAAAGAAGCTTGACATTAAATTACAAAGTTTTAAATGTTCTGATATAATGTTATAAAACATAGGAAAAAATGTCAAATTGGCCCCCTAAGTCAAGTGGATAGTGCAATTGGATCCCCTAAGTGAAAAAAAAAAAAAAAAAAAAAAAGAAGCTTCATTCAAGTCCTCTAAACCGGTAAAATTATTCAATTAAGTCTAAGTTGACTTGTTTATCAGGTTAAATGCATACGGTGTTGACACGTGTCCTTATTTTATTTTATTTTTATTAAAAATATTATTTATTATAAATTAATTAAAATAATAATAATAATAATAATTAAAAAAAAAATTGAAGGCCGTAGCCCTCGCCCAGATCTAGAAGACGGCCATGGACGTCTTCCTTAGACAGCCGTGACCATTCGGCCACGGCTGTCCTTGAAGAAGGAAGACAGCCGATGGCTGTTCTTTTTTCTTTTATTTTTTTTTTTAAATTTTTTTTAATTATTATTATTATTTTAATTTTAATTAATTTATAATAAATAATATTTTTAATAAAAAATAAAAAATAAGAACACGTGTTAACACCGTATGCATTTAACCTGATAAACAAGTTAACTTGGACTTAATTGAACAATATTACTAGTTTAGGAAACTTGAATGAAGCTTTTTTCACTTATGGGATCTAATTGCACTATCCACTTGACTTAGGGGACAATCTAACATTTTTTTCTAAAACATAAGAATGGTGCTAGAAATCACTACAAAAACTACTCTGATCTTTATTAATCACTCATTGACATGTCATAATTTTATTGGATGCATAAATTCCTTATTAACTTATGGTGAGATTGTTCAATTCATGAGTAGTCCATGAAAATAAAGAGTTTTTATTATTTTTTTATTTTTTATATCTTCTTCTTCTTCTTCTTCTCCTTTTTTTTTTTTTTTTTTTTTTTTGAAACAAAAAAATAAAAATTCTATTCACCCATATATTTGTCGCTACATTTTCAAAATATAAATGTTTGAGGTTTTATGTCCCACAAATATATGTAGGAAAATGAATAGTTTTTATCCATACTTTTTAAAAATGGAATAGTAATATTTATGGCTAATTGTACTTTTGGTTCAAATATAGATGTAAATGTTTAATTTAATCTATAATTATAGGGAAAACCAAAAGTTTAACCCTAATAATTATACACCAAGTTGGTCGTTTAATTAAGGATCGGATTATGCCAATGTTCGAACCTCGGCGATGGCTGTGTAGAGATTATGTTTAAAGTGAGTAGATTTTTTTTTTTTTTTTTGCGCACTGGCATTTAGCCTTGTATGCTGATCTATTTGGCCTTATATGTTGATCCATTGAGTCACCGTGATTGATTTACATCTTCCCAAATGCTTTGTCGGATCGGGGTGTGCGGAACTTTTGGGTTGAAGATTCGACTTTTTGGGAGAAGAATTAAGGATCGGATTTCACGTGATAAATGCGTTAAATAATTATATGTGCTTTTGTCTTCCTATGTTGTCCTTACTTTAATTTTTAATATTAGTGATTAAAATGTGTAAAATTTAAAATAAAAAAGTGACAACTGTTGTGACAAGAGAGACCAACATATTCACATTAGTGTATACAATTAGGGAGGACGTACATTAATTCAAGTTTATAATTGAAAAGCTAATTTGATTATTTGTGCAATTATCTAAGTACTAAGTAGTCAAGTACCTTATGATTTGA